TATTAAAACATGGATACTATAATAAATTTTTAAACAAACTTAAAAAAAAAAAAAAAAACATGGATATCAATACTATATTAAAACAAGAACAAAAAATTCAAATACTTGAATTTTATCTTATCACCATTCATCATATGCATCAACGGTATTCTTAGCGACGTTCCACCCAATACCTGTTTCCTTCCCTTTTAGATCTTTTCATAATTTCCATTCTTTTTTCAGTAAATCTCACTTGTGTTTCAATTGTAATTTTTCGTATAGTCTTCCTATCTCTTTACTAATATTTATAACCAACCTTGCCCATCCAACTTTATTAAAGTGAGTACCGAGACGATTGCCTAAATCCACCTCCTTGATACAAAGGTCAATGAAGATGGCTATAGTTTAAGCATTCCACAATGCTGACAATTTTCGAGATCCACTTGCAACATTTTCAGTTGTAGTGAAGTTACTATTCTTCTTTGACATCTTATTACAACAAAGACATTATATATAAGCACAAAAGAAAATAATAGGTATACAAGTGAATTACAAACAAACCAAACTATAGTTAAGCGGCATAGAGACTGGGAAAAGAAAAACCAAAAGACAAGACAATAATGAAACATAAATTTACAACTAAGAAGAGTAAAACAAAATTGAAGAAACAACCTGCACCTTTAAGATATGCTAGAGCAAGGATCTCAAAGAGTAATGATACACACACAGAGAACAAAATAAACACCAATAGAATCTCTTTTGTTTATACGATATTTCCCAAATTATAGAGAAATTGATAATTACTTCTTTTGACAATTGCACGCTGCAAGCCCACAAATTGATAAGCTCACAACAAGAGGAAAACTAAAGGGATGAAATATGAAATAAAACAATGACTCAAATTCAAAATAAAAAACAAAGCAAAGAAAAAAAATTCTACACTAATTTACCAAATTGCACCCTTATGTATACTTATAACTTCGTGCCACATTGAATAGTAATTATTTTATAGGACTTCTGCTATAAAGTCTCAGGATCATTCTTTCCTGAGTGATGCTTAAACTAGTAGCACAATTTTATCACATATCAGAATTTCAAAATTACGTTGGAATATTCAACACTGAAACTATTTATATAAACTAATATATATATATATATAGACACATATAACAGAACAAACTGGAAATTATCAAACAACTATCTTAAGCCAGTGTAAGTAGCATAAAGGAGAACAATGGTGGTATTTGCTCTGCAACTATCTTAAATGGAGGATTTTCTTAGCTCGTCAATTATGGATGGAGTTGTTCATGCTAATACATGCTTGACAAGTAGAGAAGCTTCACCTAGAATCTTCTTCACCAAGTGTTCATTTGGGCATTTGGGTTTCTTAAAATAGATGGGTTCACTAAATCCCTAAATTCCTTTGTTCCTAAATCCCAACATTAGAAAGAAATAATAAAAAGAAGAAGTAGACAAGAATTGAAGAACCTAAAAAAGAAGAAGTTATGCCCAAGATAATACAGAAAATTCCAAGTAAAAAATACAGCTTCATGCTTTGGAGGTTGACCTTATTTGCCTCAAAATCTATTTGCCTAATTCCAAGAAGAAAATTCCAAGTAAGAAAATTCCAAGAAGTACCTCCTTGAAATTTATTTGCCTATTTCCCTTTTCTATACCAATTGAACCAGTTTATAGGAACTTGACCCCATCAGGAAGGGGCCCTAAAACCCAATATACAGAAATGTCATTCTCATGCCAATACGAAATATAGAAAACAAACAGTAGCTACAATTGAAAGTTAAAATCCTAGAAATCAAAGAGAAAGATAGAACAAGGAAATTGAAAATGAATAAACATAATATGCGGCTCTTACCTGAGTCTTGTAGCTTAGCAGTGCGATTCAATTGATCCAACCAGAAAAAAATCGTAGGCAATATGTGGAAGAGAAGGAGAGGAGTGATCTCTGTGGAGAGGAGTGATCTCTGTGAAGAGATGGCATGAAGAAGAACCAAGATAGTTAAAACCCTAAAAATTAAAGAGAAAAAGGGAAGAACGAAATTGAGAAGAAATAAACACAATATGTCTCTTACTTGAGTCTTGTGGCTTCTTAGGAGTGCACTTCAATTGATCCAACAAGAAAAAAAATGGAGGAAGAATGGAAGAGAAGGAGAACAGTGCTCTATGGCTTGGGATAGAGAAGACGCACGAAGAAGAGGAGAGCATGAAATCATGTTGGGGTATTTTCGGAATATTTTAATTTTCATTAAACTCAGCGCTTCCTCAAATCTGATTATCACATAATCAGAAATTGAAAGCAGCTCATTAACTGCTTTCCTTTATTGCTTTCTCCCACAGCAATTTTTAATAATAAGTGATTTTATCACAGGTTACCAAACGGGCTGGGCTTCCCAAATTTTTTTAAAAATCACTTATTACCCCAAAGAAACAATGTCAAACGGGTAGTAAGTAACACATTAATTAAATATGATTAGGGTGGGTAAGGTTCAAATTGGATCCCTTTCATTATAAAACGGATCTGGATCATCTGCTCTGATTTTCTCTGCCATGATCTGTTTTACTTTCACTATAATACTGCTACATCATTAAAAAAACAATCCAAAGGTAGAGAATATAGCACGTGTATTTTAAAAATAAATGACATATATTTTATATATTTTTGACACAAAGTAAAGGCAATAAACAACGTTCTCTCCAATCAAATTGAAGCAAGGTTATGGTCGTGGTGAGATAGATAAAGAGAGTGGTTAGGTGGGTACGCCTGCATCCGGGTAAATCTGAGAGAAATGAGATTTTTTCTTCTTTTCTTTTCATGTTTTAGTTTTAAACCTTTAATTGATTAATTAATATTTTGATATTATTCGTATTTTTCAGTTAATTTTTTATATAATATATTTACTTTCACTGGGGGTAAAGCTGATGAGAGATGGAGAAGACCAAGAATTATGTCAAATTCGATCAAAGGTGGAACTGGTTGTTGTCCAAAAGTTTGAGAAATTAGATAATTATTAAGTGTATGTTCGTTGTTTGGTCGATGAGGAACAAAAAGAAGAAGAAAAAGATTTGTCTTTCAACAGGACAGAACACGAAGAAGAAGAAAAAGGAAAAAAAACTTTAGACATTAAATATCCCGTTAGTTGGGTGTAAGTTTTTTTTTTATACAAAAAAAAAAAGCAGATCATGGCAGAGAACAAAAATAAAGCAGATCATGGCAGAGAAAATCAAAACAAATGATCCGAATCCTTCTAAAACTACCCCCAAATTAATTATTATCGAACAATTTGGTTCGATTTGATTTTGATATAAAAAAACTATTGAAGAACCAAACCAAACTAAATCAAATCAATTTCGATTTAGTTTGGTTTGTGCAGTTTGGACCTAAGCCCTTTTATTGTTGTTGCATTTTCTCAACTTCGTTAGCCTAAATGCAACAAAATATTTCATAATTTGCTACCTATTTTTTTTTTATTTTCTAGCACATCAAACCATTGTAAAATATTATTAAGGCCATAATTCAAACATCTATAACTTTCAAGTTCTATCAAATTTTAAAATCAACATCTATATAGTTATTATCCCATACAAAAACTACACATGTAAACAAAATAAAAAGTAAAATAAATATACAAAAGGATGGTTCGAATTGATCCATTATGGTATGATTTGTTTTTAGACCGTTTGACTTTTTATTGATGAAACCATACTTAAATTATTTTTTGCGATTCAACTCAATTAATTTGATTGGTCCAGTCGAATTAATGTCCACCTCTAAATATTATGGTTCAAACGGCTTTGATAATATCTCTTTATAAGCACTTGAAACGTTAAAAATGTAGCGTCCACGCAGGAGACATGTGGATTGTAAAATTTTTGTTACAAAAAATGCTGAAAAAAGATTTTACAATTCCTTAATAAGATGACGATGTTTATCATACTTTAGTGATTCATTTAAAATCTTAAACCAAACTTATAAGCATTGAATACTAATTTAATTCGTTTTATTAGCGTTGAATCAAAATCTGAATTGTTTATTACTTGTTCAGATCGGGTCACTTTCGAGTTTATTTTAAGTAATTATGATTATGAACCTTAATGATCCACTCATCTTGTGATGGGCTTGATTTGATTTCTCTCTTCATGTTATCTTCTTGTGGGGGCGGGTACTATTTGTCCTTGTGATGCAGAGTGCGTCACCTACGCACACTTACACACTGTATTTTCTCACAGCGACAATCAACAACGAATTCAATGAAGTAAAAAGTTGCGTGAAGTAAAACGAGGAGGCGACAATCGAGAGTTAAGAGAGAGAGAGAGAGAGAGAGAGCAACTCTGGCTCTGGTTCTCTGGCTTGGCTGTCAATCAAATCTCATGTACAGAAGATCTGCTCCATGTTTCTCTCATGATTTCTGGCCTGCCGGCACAGCAGCACTTTCGTAAATAAGTAAATTCTGTTGCTTTGTATTACTTTCTCCATAAAATTTCATGCCCTTTTGTTTTTTTTTTCTCTAGAATATTGGCTCTCTCTCTCTTTCTTCCTCAATATGTTCCATTTTAGAGTTTCATTTCCTTTTGCACCTTGTAGACTTTTCTGGGTTATCTGGGTTAATGGGTATGTTTTAATCCTTGTTCATTTTAGTTATGCTTCTTTGTTTCTCCCTGGGTGACCCTGTCTGTATGTTAATTATGGAAAATCCTCTCTTTGCTTTAGCTTTTGGAAGCTCAAAACTTTCAACATATGTTTATCAGAAAACACTGCCTTGTTACCAACCTGGATATTGCTATTTTTGAGTATGGGGAGTCCTTGATTTTATTGTTTGCTGCAAAGTTTAGAATCAATACAAAGTTGTTCTCTGCAAGTAAAGTTTCTTCATCTGGTTTTTATTGACTAATTTTGTTTTTGTTTTTGTTTTTTCCTTTTTTGTGTCTCTGCTGTTTTTCTTCTGAAAGACTGACTATTCTTTGGCATTGACTGGGTTTCTGGGGTCTTTTATCGTTGAGATTCTTTTCCACTTAAAAATTAAAAATCAAAACTTTGAATAGGTTGGTTCAGAAAACACAGAAGGGAAAGGTTCCTTTTCTAGGTAAAAGGGGTATTTGCTTTTAGGTCATTAAAAACCCATGTCTGATTTTTTTCTACTTGGTAAGTTGTCTGTGGTGCAGACATATCCTTATCCTTGTGTTTGGTTCCAAAGAATACAGAGGAAAAGAAAAGAATAGGAAAATTCACCTCAATATTGCTAAAACTAAAAGGTAATTCAATTGTTGATTGGCAACAGTTGAATTGTGGCTTACCTATACGTTGGTTCCAGATTCTGGCAAACAAGGTTTGAAACTTTACTTTCTGCTTTACCCTACAATTTCCTGCTAATTCAGTCATGGCCGTTCATTGTGTTTTTTTATTTGTATGTAAAAAAATGGGTACCCATTAGATTTCATCTTCTGTAAAGTTTGTTGCTTGGTTTGTTCCATTTCATTTTCCTCATACATGCTGTTTCTGATGCAGGACAAGAACTGTTCTTGGCTGAAGTCAAATTAGAATGGAAGGTAGTATATTTACAGGCATAGGAAACGGAACCCAACTAGATACCAAGGTTGTGCAGACATTTCAGAAGAGCTTTGTGCAAGTGCAAGATATTTTGGATCAGAACAGATTGCTAATTAATGAGATTAACCAAAACCACGAGTCCAAGATCCCTGATAACCTCAGCCGGAATGTTGGCTTAATTAGAGAGCTTAACAGCAACATTAGAAGGGTCGTAGATCTCTATGCTGACCTCTCCAGCTCTTTTTCCAGGTCAATGGAAGCTTCATCAGAAGCTGAATCAGGTGGGACTTTGAAATCTGATGGAAAATCTAGCGAGAAGAGAATTAGATCCGGGTAATTGTTCAAAAATTGGCTTTGTTATAGTTATAGATTCTGCACTCTTCATTACTGAATAAGAAAAATTTGTACTACCAGAGGGAAGAACTTGACGAGCTTGTGTTACTCTTCTGTATCAATTATATCTATTTGAGGCTCCGTGCAACAGATTCACTGCCACAAACTTTCATGAAATATCTCTATGAAAATTTAGCGCTGTAGTTTTCAGTTTCAACACTGGATCTGCTAGATTAAATTGTGCATGCTTTTCTGTTTAGGATTTCATAGTTAATCCTATAAAGATCATTTAGATTTTGGTTGGCAATTGGTGGATGCATTCATCAATTCTTTTTAGGACGGAGAAGAATAAGAAAATAAAAGGAAAAGAAAGTGTTGGATGTATCACTTTTTCATGTATTTAACCTGTCAATGAGTGACTTTCAAGCGTTCACAAGTGCAGTGGTGTTATTCATTAATCTACCCAAGCTTAAATGCTATCAGTTTGAAATTTCTGTTCAGAGATCACAGCTTTCTACTTGTAGACTCCCTTAAAAGCTGAAATTTGATTTGGTTTTTTTATATTTTCTCATTGGTTTCATAATCATTTTTCTGATATATTATCTGCTTCAGATGGGAACTTTAGCTACCCACTTTATTCTTTTCCCATGTTTGTCAAAAAGATATTCTTATGGTGCCCCTCCCCTCCCTAGTTCAGGATTACGGTGGAGGATTGGTGTATACTGTTTGCTGCTCAGATAGCCAAGTTTTGTATGTTCAGAAGCTCCTGTGCTTGTTGATCTTACTTCTCCAATGACCTTGACATAGGGGGCTTTTGGGTTTAAGATGCTTTATGAAAATTGGAGAAAGCAGCTCTGGATTAAAAATAATAATAACTAGATATGAAAAAAAGGAAATGGTTTTGGTTTTAGAACTAACACCACCAATGCAGATCTCATGTAGTATAAATGATTGTTCTTTTGAACTTTGTCTTGTTGCTTAGTTTTACAAGAAAGCACTTAAAGGGACAGAAAGTTGATCAAACAGTAAGAAAGAGTAGGGCCCAGCTGTTCATTATTTTTTAGGTGGAATGGAACTGGTTGAAGCTCAGGCTATCCTTTGCTTAGGTTTATCTCTTTCTGATTGATTCTCTTATCCTTTTTAAAGTTTTCACTTTGTATCTTCCCTTTAATTTCTCTCTCTCTCTCTCTCTCTCTCTCTCTCTCTCTCATGTGGTAGATGATTGCTATGTAGGTTTTGGCATAGTTTCTGAACACTTTTTGGCATTGGTAACAATCCATTCATTGATATAAGCTTAAGAAGTGATGCAAATATCTGATTTTCCCAAAGCATTGTTGAGGAAGATACATGTGGGGTTGAGGTTGGTTCATGTATGATGTTCCCCCTAATGGATGGTAAATGATTTTAGTCTTATTTGAGCTCAGTGGCCCATTTGCCTGACCAAAATAAAAGTTTAATGGTGGTTAAGGACCCTCACTTAAATTTGTTATCATTTACATTCAAATCAAGGCCAGCACAAAGACCACCATGTGGTTGAGATAATTGATTGCTATAATCAGAGTTGAATTTTGAAGGTATGACAAATAAAAGTGGTTACTAGGCAAGGAGATAGTTCAATTTGTAGTAATCATGCGGTTGAGATGCAAGTTCCAGTCTCTCTCCAATAATATCTCCTAAATTAAAATTGTACCCATCAAATGGAAAAGGTACAGTAGATTTTTAAACCAAAGATTGATCTTTGAGCCAAAAACAAAACCAAATTGGGGAATAGCAAGGACTTTTGGAAACGTAAGATTGTGCCCCTACATGGGAGCTATAAGTCAGAACAACGTTCACCAACTCGTTTAAAGTAATCTTGTTCATATATATGGAAAAAGGTTTTTGAATATAAGTTTTTAAATGTTATAGTAAAGAAGTCATATAATATTATACAACAGATTTGTTGCGGCCGTTGAGTGAGCCCTTTTGACTTTAGATGCATGTGAGTCCCATTGCGAGACTCATATGCACCAACGATCATAAAATGTTAATGCGTTATCCCAAGTGATCACGACTGACATATGATATCCTAAATCTCAGATAAATTGCTATATACACCCCCCCAATTAGGATTTCAATCGAACTTAATTCCTGAATTAAATAGTCTGTCAATTTAACAACTGAATTAATTAAAATGGCAAATTTAGACTTCGTCATTAAGTTGTGTGAATTTCATCCAATTTTCCGTCACCTATAGGAGTAAACTTGTAATTTCGAGTAAAATAAATTATAATTAATAAGGAAACTATAATAAAATTTAAATAAATAAAAAAAGGAAAAACAGCCCCATCCAGCAAGAAAGAATCAGCGGCAATGGAGGTGTGTCTCTGAGAGGAAGCTAGATTGAAGCTTTGTCTGTACAATATACCTTGGCTGCCTCCCCGCACCGTCCAAATGAAAATTAAAATGAACCCAAATTTTCCACCCCCGTTGTATTTTTTGCAGACCTGGTTTTTTCAATGAAATTTCTAAAGGTTTCGAACAAAAAACAAAACCATGATAGCTGGATTTTTGGTTTTGGTGGTGGTGGGCTTGATGGATCTGTGCATGAATATTAGAGAGAGATGACGACGATGACGAAGAAGATGGTGATGGCATTGGCGATGATGGATCTGGGGTAGGGAGTGGTGGCTGGGAGCGTGGTATGGTTTAAAATATGGGAGTTTCACTAAAACACCCAAAATGGAGGTTGAAATTATAAAAAAACCCAACACCCAAAACACTTTATAAACACACCCAAAACCCATCATTACACACACTCAAAACCCATTTATAAACACACCCAAAAAGTTGACTTTGGGGTTGATTTTGGGTGTGTTTCTATGTTTAAATAGTGTTTAGGTTTTTTTATAAATACATGTCTAGGATTGGGTTTATTTATAAATTTGTATTAAAGTATTCGGCTATACTTTTAAAATTTTCTATTTGTAGAGTCTAGCCGCGCGGCTATACGTTTAGATTTAACGTATAGCCGTACGGCTATACTCTGGGTATAGGGTTTTTAGTTTTTATTTTGTAATTATTTAAATATTTACTTTTTAATAACTCATTTTCAAAAGTAAGTCATGTGCCAAGTATGTGACTTTTTAAATGGAATAGTGAATGAAATTCGAAAAAGTTGACGGTAAGGGCTAAATTGGCTATTTATATATAAGTGCATGTGCTAAATTGACTGAAAAGTTAGTTCGAAGGGGTAATCGGAGGGTTAAGTTCGATTAGGGTCATAATTCAAGGGGTAAAATGGCTGAAAATCCTATTGGAAATGCATTGAAAAGATCCATGGTGTATAAGCAAGACCTGAGAATCCAAAAGTCACATTCAACTAGCACTTTCGGATGAGGCATTGAGTTGTTTCAAATGGTATCACAGCTCAACACTTACACATCGACCCGAGCATGAAGATGATGTATTTGCCGTGGTGTTTAGGTCTTCTTATATGAACGGACAAATCTTTTACCACTTCGTTATTTAAACATAGTAGCACACCCATGTAAAACATTTGTGAAGAAGAAAAATGAAAACAGACAAATTGATTATTGAAGTTGCTGTTCCGATTTCTCCATCAATCTGTTCAAACATTCTTTCCAATCTGAAACCTTCTCACCTCCATTGACCACCTATTATCAAACAATGCCATGAAGATTCATTACTCTCTTATCAAGAAGGGAAAAAAGACAGATCAAAATAAATCAACAAGGGATCACAAATTTACAACATTACATCTTTTTCCCACTGCAAAATGTCTCCATTTTTTTTATACCTCAAATATGAAGCCTTTCTGGGGGACTGCATCAACTGCTTCCACACAAATAAAGGCAGCATCCTCCTTGCTAAGAGTTCCTTTTGCTGAACTACCCTATAAACAACAACATCAAAATGAGACATGAATTTTTTCCCAAATGATATGAACAGATCAAGCATACTTTCGACATGAGTTTTTTCTTTTTTGGTTTTTACTCCCAAAACTAAACCAGAAAGGTTCTATGGCTCCTTGATGAAAAAGCAAAACAATTTGGCATTGAATAGTACCTGTTCAAAGCTAAAACCTTGAGTTCCACCAGAAGAATTTTGCAACAAGCCAGCCCGGATCACGGTGTAAGGGATTCCTGAGGCCACCAGTATTGATTCATCTTGCTCAGCCAATTTTCTTGCATTGCTTTTCAGGAGAGCTTGAATGCCAGTGGCACCTTTGTAAACAGACAACTGCAACCTTATTATTAAGTCACAATAACAAACATTTCCTTTTTCCAGTGCTAATGTTTCTCCACACAAACACAGAGAGAGAGAGAGAGGTACCTGAGATAAGAGAATTACATGTTTGACGCCTTTCAAGCTCCCAACAGTAGATAAGAAGCCTTCCTGACAAAAGAGAAAACATTTAAAAGACATCTTCAATGTTTGAGTTCTAAAGAGGCATCATGTCGAAAACATGAAGGCACCAATCTTTGCTCTGGTGGATTAGAGTTCATGTCACATGTTCGAACATAAATTTCTCAGGTGCAATTTCCCATTTTTTCAGTCCATTGCACCAGATGTAATTTATTTTTACGTGAAATGCTGATTTCACTGTAACTATTGTGGAAGGTCTACAATCTCTTCTAGCAGATATAAGGTGCTGAACAGATTTCGATTTCATTATAAGTTTGATTTTGTTCAGTTCATTTTCAAGATGGTTTATACCGCTACTGAGAAGCTCAAATTTCACGAAAACCAGCAAGTGGGAGGTCTAGATGTTATATATGCATACATTTGGGCATATTACTGTGCAAACTCCTCTTAGAGCTCTCCTTAGAAATGGCTTGTCCCTTGAATCTCCAGCCATTGACTTTGCATACAAAACCACAACAAAATCACAACCATGCAGTCAATATTTCAAGCACAAAAATGAAAAGAAGTATGAGAACAGCAAATGCCAGTACAGGAACTAATGACCACCCACCTCAACATAAGTCCCAAATGCTTCAAGTGCAGCCCGCTTATCCTTCACCAGTGCTTTTATTCGAGCTCTTTTGACAATCAATGACAATATTACCATCTACATGGGCTAGATAGCACAAGGCTCAGAATCCATATGCCAGAAAGCCAATCAAGAGCAATATAAACAGTACTTAATTGCAAGAAGCAGCTTGATTAAATATTAAGGACCATGTTAAGAAATGTTATCAGAGTGCGTAATAGCTCACTGATCGAGCGCTCTTGCACCGAAGATGAATTGTTCTGTGGAACTGGCATCTTTTCCTCAGATATATTTGCAAGCAACAATGTCACTTAAAGTGATCTTTGTGTTGTGACAGTTTGAATTTCATCTACCACATCAATTATTTTCTCAAAATTTAGGTAGATTCAATCAAGTTTTCAATTGCTACATGGGAGATTAATCACAGGTAATATACATCAGAAAAAATGAAAAATACTGGAAAAGCACCTGACCCATCTCACTATCTCCATCAGTTACCAAAACAGCATCCCTAGTTTCTTTTCCTTCTGCACAAGGACATATCACAACCCTTTTATTAAAAAATGCCCAATAAAGCATGACCATAAACATGCATAAAATTGCTATATATGCCATCACATCACCTGGGAATTCATCATCTTCTTCAACATTTGTTCCATCTTTAGGCAGAAGCTCAGGTGCCCCATACCATTTCCTTAACTTGGGACCCCCTTCACATAAATTGAACCCACTGATCACTTAGACACAATGCAAACAAAGCAGCCAACTAATAAAGAATTGGGTCCAAAAGAAGAAGAAAAACCCAGTATGTTGGAACAAGATAGAGATGAAAATAAAGATTATTACCTTCAATATAATCAAGAATTTGGTCTGTGAAGCTAACTTTCTTCTTGGCCTTGCATTGAACAAGAGGACTCTTTCGGGTGCTTAAGATGAAACAGCTAGAATACGATGGCTTCTGATAAGGTAAGTTGAGTGAAGCCAGTAGAGAGAGAGTTGATGAAGAAGGAAGTACACCCGCCATTGGTTGTCCGTACGTTGTTATGTTTCTCTCATCCAACCGTTTTTCTGTTGCCACTGATGCTATGGCCTGTAGAAGATAAGATTAAATGCTTCCATACACAACAAACCCCCTTTTAGTATGGGAAAATTAGCCCAATGCCACTTTAACCATAGACCTCGTTGCAATTTGCCACTTTGTTGCATTAATTTGTCACACCAATTAAAATTTTGTTACAGTGTGTCGCTTATATTATAATTTCATCTATTTTTTCGTTCAAAAATCTATGTGTAATTCGCACGTGACCCTTTGGAAGAATAGTTTGATGCTCGAAATCTTATACACTCCTTTTGAAGGATCATGCAAAGCAAATACAATTTTTTGGACGAAAAAATAGACAAAGTCAAGTCGTGTATGGAACATTGCACTTTGCAACAAACTTCAACTGAGATGGCCCATTGCTTCAATTTTATTTTTTCAGGTGGCACATTGCAATTAACCTAAAATTTAGGTGACAACGACATGTCGTTTTAACACCCTCTCCCGTCCTATATCTTTCAACTTTCTATCTAGGGTTTCCCAAACCAAATACCAAAAATAGAAAAAACCTGCAGAGCCCGTGGAACTCCAATCCAAGCGGCGCCCACCATGGCTACTCAAATGAGCAAAAAGCGAAAGGTCTTGCCACCGACCAAACACGCCCTAATGTAAATTTCCGACGTTTTCAACTTGTTTGACAGAATATATCTTGGCAATTAATTCATTTTGTATATTATTACAGTTTGTAGCCGACGGAGTGTTCTTTGCGGAACTGAACGAGGTGTTGACCAGAGAGCTCGCAGAAGATGGGTACTCTGGCGTTGAAGTTAGGGTTACGCCAGTGCGGACCGAAATCATTATTAGAGCCACCCGGACTCAAAACGTCCTCGGTAACTTCTTAGACCCTGTTTGGTTGATGGGTAGTATTTGGGATTGTATTGTAGGTTGATTTATGTGTTTTGAGCTTACATTGTGGATTTACAGCACATAATTAGCTTAAAGTTAGTAACTTTGATTTTGATTCTAGTGTTTGTCTCTGTTCAATGCTTGGTTCAGTTGAAGATATGACTTTGAGAAAACATTGAAATTAAATCATTGTCCCTTACTAGTTTGTTTGTTAATTACGTGGTTCAGAAAGAAAGATGTTTACTTTAATAATATAATAGATTCAGTTTATACATGGAAATTGACATTCTTATATTTTCAGAGAAATTTGGAGAAAAGGGATACTTGCTTAGCTTGTAACTTGAGATGAATTTTGTAACTTGTGTTGATAAATTCACACTGCCTGATTTACACTTTTTTATTGATGGGTTTAGGTGAGAAGGGAAGAAGAATTAGAGAACTGACATCTGTTGTTCAGAAGCGTTTTAAGTTTCCAGAGAACAGTGTTGAGCTTTATGCAGAGAAAGTCAACAACCGAGGGCTTTGTGCCATTGCTCAAGCAGAGTCTTTGCGTTACAAACTTCTAGGAGGGCTTGCTGTTCGGAGGTATGCTGAAAACTGACTAGATATCTTTTCTTTTTGATTGTGAGTTAAGAGGATTCTCAATGGATCATTCTCTTTGATTCAATATTTGGTTCTTGGAGTCTGGAGTTGTGGTCTCCAACATCTCATTATATGTTGTGCATTATCCTAACACTTTCTAAAGAGAATGATCCAACTGTTTTGATAGCACTTACTTAGTAATGAAAGTTGTTTTCTTTACAATGATGTATGACTAGTGGTCTTGAGATGCTTTGTATAGGTTAGTCTTTGTTAAAGGAAATGCAATAGTTGTCCAATCCTGTTTCTAGTGAATATCAATAGCATTTGGTTTTATCTCCCTTTACTCACAATAATGGTTAACGGGATCCTCAAGAATGCTTAAATTGCATTGGAGTTTTGTTAGTCTGTTTGAGCTATTAATAGTTCTTGGAGTTCGGGAACTCCTACATTTCATAACATCCCTGTGTTATCCAAATATAGCAAACTATTCATTGAACGTCAGTGTGATTGAGGGAATAAAATAAAATAAAAAGATTTGACTAATTAAATTTCAATCACATGATTGAGTGTGACATTGTGCTGGTCCTTTTGGGATGATAGGGTTTGCGGTCTCCAGATCTCATTATGTCTTATGCCTACACACGCATACACACACCAACTAACGCTCATGCACACCTGCACACACGCACATTCAAATACACATGCACACATAAACCAGTTTTATCAGCAATAGCATTCAGTAATAACTTATATCTCCTTTACTCACAATAATGGGTTAAGAGGATCCTCAAGAGTGCTTACATTGATTGTTGGAGTTTTGTTAGTCTGTTTGAACTGTTAATAGTTCTTGGAGTTCGGGAACTCCTACATTTCAGAGAGACGGGTTAGGGGCCTGCTACTAGCAATACCGATATTGTCCCCAACTTAACCACCTACAAAGCTCAGTTGGTTATGTTAGTAGTGGAACCATTCATTATATATTGTATTTTATTTAGTCAAGTTTCCGATGTGGGACTTATATTCTTCAACAAATAGTTCTTGGAGTTCGGGAACTCCTGCATTTCAAAACATTCATGCGTTATCCAGATATAGCAATCTAGTCATTGAACGTTAGTGTGATTGAGGAACGAAATTAAGTAAAAAGATTTGACTAATTAAATTTCATTCATGATTGAGTGTGGCATTGTACTGGTCCTTTTGGGATGATAGGGTTTGTGGTCTCCAGCATCTCATTATATCTTAAGCGCGTACACTCATGTGCACCTGCACACGCACCCAAATGCACTCACTCATAAATCAGTTTTATCAGCAATAGCATTCAGTAATGATTTATAAATCCCTTTACTCACAATAATGAGTTAAGAGGATCCTCAAGAATGCTTACATTCATTGCTGGAGTTTTGTTAGTCTGTTTGAACTGTTAATAGTTCTTGGAGTTCGGGAACTCCTACATTTCAGAACATTTCTGTGTTATCTAAACCTAATATGCTCATCGGTGAATGTCAGTGTGATTGAAGAAATTAAATGAAGTAAAACTATTTTATGATAAGTACATCCACATAACCTAGATACTTTCTATCTAAAGAAGATGATCCCACTATTTCGATAGCTCTCAGTAATGGAAGTTTATTGTCTTTGCAATGCTGTATGATTGTTGATTTGGAGATTCTTCATGTAGGTTAATCTTTGACAAAGGAAATGCATATCATGTCTAATATATATCAATTTTACATGTAGGTTAAATCTCACCCATAAATCAGTTTTATCAGCAATAGCATTCAGTAATAACTTATAAATCCCTTTACTCACAATAATGGGTTAAGAGGATTCACAAGAATGCTTACATTGATGGCTGGAGTTTGTTAGTCTTTTTGAACTGTTAATAGTTCTTGGAGTTCGGGAACTCCTACATTTCAGAACATTTCTGTGTTATCTAAATCTAATATACTAGTCGGTGAATGTCAGTGTGATTGAGTTATTTAAATGAAGTAAAAATATTTTACGATAAGTACATCCACATAACCTAGATACTCTCTATCTAAAGATGATCCCACTATTTCTATAGCACTTAGTAATGGAAGTTTATTGTCTTTGCAATGCTGTATGATTGTTGATTTGGAGATTCTTCATGTAGTTTAATCTTTGACAAAGGAAATGCATTACATGTCTAATATATATCAATTTTATTAGCAATAGCATTCAGTTTTATCTCCCTTTACTCACCGTAATGGGTTAAGAGGATCCTCAAGAATGTTTACATCACATGTTTGGAGTTTTGTTAGTCTGTTTGAACTGTTGATGGTTCTTGGAGTTCGGGAACTCCCACATTTGTTTGAAAAACTCCTTTATTGTGTAACCATTATGCTTTAGTATTACTTTGGGCTTTTTGGTTTGTTGACTTTTATTAATCATCCCTTTTACCTCCTTTTGTTAGGGCATGCTATGGTGTTCTTAGATTTGTCATGGAGAGTGGAGCAAAGGGATGTGAGGTACAAACAAAAGCTGTTCTTTTCACTTTACCTTATTAGTTCGTGCCAACATTGTAAAATGAATTTCTACTTTACAACATGCAGGTCATTGTCAGTGGCAAACTCAGGGCTCAGCGTGCCAAGTCTATGAAGTTCAAGGACGGATACATGATATCCTCTGGCCAGCCTGTTAATGAATACATTGACTCTGCTGTGCGTCATGTGCTTCTTAGACAGGTTAGCTCATTGGTTGAGATTTTTTGTAGGCAATGTGCCTGAGTGTTGTACTCATATGTGATCTACATTTCTTAAACCTTTATGATTTTTCAGGGTGTTCTTGGGATTAAGGTCAAAATCATGCTCGATTGGGATCCCAAGGGTAAGCAAGGCCCCGCAACGCCCCTACCGGATCTGGTCACCATCCACCAACCCAAAGAGGAAGGGGACTACATCAGGCCCCCAGTTGTGGCAGCAGCTGAAATACCAGTCCTTGCTGCATAGAATTCTTCGTTCGTCTTAGGTTTGGCACTGTTAGGGACAAGAGTCCAAAACATTATCAGATACCCCCTAGACTTAGTACCCCCAATTAGAATATGGGATTTTGTCTTTCTGTGTTGCTATCTGTTTAAGTGGATAGGATTTTCATTTTCACAAAAAGAAATTGAAAGGCAAAAGAAATTTATTTGCCTTTTGTTCCTCATGCTATCCCGTTGATATGAGCTTGTCCTCCGGAATTGGGGTTTTGGAGTCTTCATACTCAAGTAGGGCAAAAATGCTTTGGATTCTAAACTTATCATTTCCCATTCGTGTAGAATTCTATGGTGAGGTGCTGGTTAGTTTGAACCAACGGTTAAGAGAAGGGCCTTGGATAATGCCCACGACGACTCCTCACTCTATTGAATGACATTTGGGCTGCTTCTTCTCTCTGTGCCCTTTTTGCTTCTTTTTGGGCATCTATTGTTGCACTTTTCAGGCCCAAGGAAAGGGCGTGGCCTTCAACTTTTAACAAACAGAAGTTTAAGTTGAATAAATTTGACCAAGGTTTTGTCTAATGATCTATTTATAGGAATATGTTCGAATATAATACCGGTTGACAAGGGCCCTTTGTCAAATAATAAGATAAGTGATGGTTCAAATTGTAATTTTATTATTTTTGACGAGGCAATAATTCCATTTGATTCCCTTTTATCAACCAAACGATCACAACGTTCAAGTTGGGGTGGTGGGTCGTTGACCTTGATTTGACTTATTTAATTTTATTCCCCTTTATGAATATTTCTATTAGAAACTTGAAATCTTAAATCACTTGTATATTATTTATAGAATAATAATATCTCACTTACACAAACTCCTAATGATTTCCTGAAAAAAGAAAAAGAAAAAAGAATTGCTACAATTACACAACCTATCATATAATACATATTGATAAAATACAAAATTGGATTTTTTTTTTCTTCATATAATACTAGTTAAACATGTTTATCATGTTTAAAACGGGTTATTAAGTGTGACACTAATCATATACATCTATTATTATGTTTAGTGGGTCATCTAATATTCGTGTTCATATGGTCAACTAAACTCACTAATTTTGTGTTACTTTAGAGTTGTGTTATTGTATTGGTTCAAAAGTTTCCAGTTTATTTTAAAAAGAATAAAAAAAGAAAAATTCAGCAGCTACGAAATAATGAAAAAAGGGAAAATATTATTTCGTGTCACCCTGGAGTCGTGTTGTTGTACTTGTATTGGGTCAAAATTTTCTAGTGCGAGCCAATTCATTTAAAAATGGACAAAAAGAACCAAAAAGAAAAACTTCAGCAGCTAAAAAGAAAAGAAAAGAAAATAGGAAAAATAGAAAAAGAGAAGGCGAAGCTAACCGGACCCCAAGTCGCATTTGTGAACCGTATTGGATGGAGAGTTTGGAGTCCGGAACTGTATGATAGTAAGCACAGCGTACTAAAAAAGCGAGCCAAAAACACAGAGGCGCACACACACGGGTGCGTGCAAGCAAGCAGCAAGCAAGCAAGCAAACCAATCCGATTGTTTTTCCCTTCGTTTTATTTTTTTGGTTTTACAATTTTCAAGCTTCTCTCACAAGCTTTCTTCAGAAAACGACTCGTCTTCCCCACTTAGTCTCCGGCGCTTCGAATCGGTCGCTTTTCTTTGGATTTTCCACTTGCAAGCACTGAATCAACTCGCTCGCCACTCACACACTCCTATGGTGAGCCCCATCTTACTTAATTTCATATTCAATTTGGCTTCCAATGTGAAATTTTTTACCAATTTCTAGTCTTTTGGTACTTCTTGCATACGAATTCTCGCTTTCATTGTAGTTTCGTTTCATTTACTTTGCAATTTGGCCTGAAATGGTACTTTTCCCTTTAAAGAAATGTACTTTTATGTATCTAGGCTTGGAAATTTGCAGTGTTTGTAGCAATATAGTTTGGCATATAAATTTTCTTCCTTTTGCGGTTTGCTTTGGGAAATTTTAAGTTTTGAAGGGTAGCTCTGAATATTTGATTTGGAAATAATTTTGCATGTGTTTTTATTTCTAGTAGATGGGTTTAGGCGCATTTATATTTTTTGGTGGATAAAGTATTATTTTATTTTATTTTGGAAACTATAAAAGTTAACTTTATTTATTTACTTTGTTTTGTTTTGTATTTCTTTTGGGGTTTCAGTTTGTGTATTTGAGTTGCATGTGGTGGATTTTCCATGGAAACAGTGGTTGGTGTTGAGGGGAGTGATGAAGGGAAGTGTGAGGAGAGTGGGGTTGAGAAAAGTAGCTCTTCTTTGTCTTCACCGAAGCAGATTGCCGATCCTGTTGTATACAAGCTCGTTCGGGTATGTTTTCATTTAAACTAAAAGTTTAACTATTCTGTTGGTGGTAGTAGTTTTATGCGCATAAAATTGAAAGGTGAGCTGCTTCTTTTTGTTCTATCTTGGAGGTATAAGTCTGGTGCTGCTCAAGATGCAGTAACTCTAGTAAATTTGTTATGAGTGATTCAACTTTTCAATTTGGAAAAACACGATTAGCTTAGTAATGTGTGTTAATTGTAACTTTAGAGTTGATAAAAAGGACTGTCTACCAAGTGTTTTTAACAGTTATTTCATTCATAAATTACAGTTAGAACCCAGTTAAGCCATCAATCAATTAATCCAATCAGTTAGTGCTGTTGGAATCTGAGCCGGGAGAATCAGGTTTAAGAAAATCATAATAGAAACATACTGAATCTAGAACATTGCATTTCTTCTCAGAAGCTTGATTTTGGGGATTTCGTTTATACCCCCTTGGGAGTTGAGGTATCTGTCGAGTCTTTAACTTTAAACTACAGGTTTATACTTCAATCAAATGAGAACATTTCTCGTTTGGCGAGGTGAGGCTCTCTATTATGTGTTTAAGGGGAAAAAGGTTAAAATCACATTGCACTTACAAGTATGGACATCGTTAGATCAATGTTGATATTGTCATTGCCATTTGTTATGTTATCCTTCAATGATGTTTTATCTGATGCCAGGTTGAAGGTGATGGGAGATTAGTGCCAGCAACAGATGATGAAGTAATGGAGGTTGAGGAATTTCTTGTGGATGAGAAGATTGAAATACCTGTTGTTACAGACGCTGGAAATGTTGAGTGCATTTCCAATGAAGAGTCTTCCTCTGGGAAGTCTCATAAAGAAAGCTCAGAAGGTCTATTTGAGTTATTGTTGTAACTAATTATTTTACTTCATCTTTATCATTATGGTCATTTTGAGTATAACTTTAAGAGCATGCAATGGGAATTTGGAAGCTTCAGCTAGAATTTATGTTTCTAATTGAGCAGAGGACATTCTAGGTCTGATTTTTATCTCTTCAGATTTTTAGATTGAGTCATAGATGGTATCCCAAATCTGTATTTGGATTTATATTGAGAAATCTTATTCCAATTTGTTTTTTCCTTAATGGGTTTGGGGGTTGATTTGCATTCATGGCTAAAGTGACCAATTTATTTGGTACTTTTTAGTTATATTCATTTTCTGTTTTGTATACCTATTATTTCCCTTACTTTAGTGAAGTATTGATGTGATGATATATGGTTTTTTTTGAGAAACTAGATGCCATGGAACTTGGTTTATTAAATCATTTGAACACATTCTGTTTTATATTTTATGGTGTCGGTTCTGTCATAGTTTTCATGTTGAGGTTTGCTACTCAACCTGGGTCCCTACTAACCCGAGGGTAGGGGGTGTGTTCTGTCATAGTTTTCATGTCTGATTGAGAATCACATTTCCAGGTCCGTCACATTCAGAGAACACAGAACCTGATGCAAAATTAAGTGCACGGCTTGAGGTATTCTTTCGATATAATTTCTTCTTCTGTTCTAGAATCAGATGGATAAAAAAAACATTTAGAGTTGCACATTATAGGGTATTTCGTTTGTACAATCTGATGTTTACATCAAATTAACGAATTTATTCAAGTGCTTGGACATGTTACGTCTGCCCTTGTACAACAGCTGTATTTTCTTAATGCTGTACATTTTAATCTTCTAGAAAAGAATTTCTTGATCTTGGAATTTATTTTTCTGTATTATGTACTGTGGCATATTTCTTCTTCAACTAGTTTGATCACTCACTTCTTTTAACTTATTGATAGTTTATTTCGATTTGTTATTTTCTTGTGCATCTGCGTATGCATAATTTAAGCATATCTAGTTATTAATCGTCTTGGATCCTTCTCGACCGCTAAAATCTCTTGTAGTACATCGAGGAGATGTTGCAAAAGGTCAAACAGGAAGAGAAGCTCCGCTTAGCATGTGGATCTCCTGATCATTCTTCTGCTTTTATGAATGTAGACAGCCAATGTTCTGATCAGCATGATAAATTGCCTGCTATTGATAAGAAGCTGCAATCTGAAATTCCTTTGCAGGAAATTGTTCCTTCTTCAGACCCGAGTTTAGACGACAGCCATATTAATGAATCTGCGAGAATTGGGGAGTGCTCAAAAGCTCCAGATGGACCAATCGAAAGTGGATCACCAGCTTCTGTCATCTGCAATAGTTCGAAGCCTGATTTTTATACATTAAAGGGGGAGATATGCTTGGACAACCTATCAATTAGGGAACTTCATGGATTGTTTCGAGCAACTTTTGGGCGGGAAACTACTGTTAAGGACAAGTTGTGGCTTAAGAGGAGGATCGCAATGGGGTTGACTAATTCTTGTGATGTTTCAACCACAACTTTCACTATTATAGATAACAAATTAGTGAACAAGGGTACAGATAATAGCTTTCAGAATGCAGATGGTATGCTCACTGAAGGGTCTGATGGTGAAGCGAAGAATCTTGGGTATGAAACTTCACCAACTAGCCACAGTAGCCAAATGGAAAATCATCAAATTGTGTTGGGCAAGAGATTGGGAAACCTTAGTGTAGAACTTGATTGTGGAAGTGATGATCTTCAAATGGAACATAGAGGTGCCAAAAGAGTTAGAAAACCCACTAAGAGATATATTGAAGAACTTTCTGAAGTTGAATCAAGAGATTATACCCCAAAAGTGATTGGTTCAGCAAAAAATACAGGACAAGGACAAACATCTCCAAAATATTGTATACGACCTCCTGGAAATGCCCCTTTAAATGAGAGAACTATTGTCACCAGGTTGGACTCTCTCGGTGGATCTGGCGTCCAGGTCCCTTTTGTTTCTCGAGTTCGAAGAAGCCGTCCAAGAAAAAATATTATGGCTCTTATGGTAGGTAAAACCATTTTGTAATGGGGCATTGAGTCATGTTATTCTTTATGTTTGGCTTTTTTTCCCCTCAAGCATGGGAGTTTCTTATCTAAAAGATCTATGTTGTCATTTTTCCCTTTTCTTCCAGCTGGAAGCAGAACCAGTAGTTTCATGATTCATCTGTTTAAATTTAATCAAGAATATATTATAGCACTACAAAACTTCTGAATGACACAATAACTGAAGTGATTTTGGATTTTGATTGGTAGAAATTCGATTCAAGTGGAATGGGTGTGGCAGCTAAACTGGTACAAGAGGCCCTTAGTGTGCGCAGTTCTCCACCAGAGAGTGAGCATGTGGATAAAGTCTTGAAAGTGAGATCTGCTTCTGAACAGATTCAACCACTGGTAAGATAAATTTTGCTCAATTGGATTCAATTTTTCGTACCTGGCAATTGACATTGGGTTTGGGCATATTTGGCTCAATTTGATAATGTGACAACAATGCCTATGCAGCTGATGATAGTCTCTGCCTTGTTACTTTGTAATTTTTCTCCTTAAATTAGTTGTAGACTGGTATTTTGTCTTCTTAAGGACTAAAGTTTATGATGAAAAGAGCGAGCATACCATCTTGGGTATGAAACTGTGGTATTTTGTCGTCTTGGTTGTTTTGCTTCTCTGCATTTATGTTTGTTAGATTAATAGGCTAGACTGCGGTCAACCATCTCGTGTTTAAGAAGGCAAGATATGGCATTAATGTTCTGTTTAAGTATCCATGGATGGTTATACAAACCAATTCAGTCATGCAAAATGCCTTAAGATTATAGTCTTCCATGAGTAAGGAATCATCTTTATTTTTCTATATGTTTGGATCAGTTAAGACTTTTTTAGGCGGGGGATTTGAGATGTGGCTATCAAAAGGCTGTGCCCTGGCTATCAATACTACAGAACTGTTAAACATATATGACTGCTTTGTTGATATCATGGTTTGCGTTTGTTCTCAGTGCTATATGTCATATCTGTAAATTGATTGGATTCTAATTCTTTTGTTATGGTAATTTATTTCC